AAAATCCCAACAATCCCTCCCCAAAAATCCCAGGAATCCATTCCCCAAAAATCCCAGGAATCCATTCCCAAAAATCCCAGGAATCCATTCCCAAAAATCCCAGGAATCCATTCCCTAAAATCCCCTCCCAATCCCTCCTTAAAATCCCAACAATCCCTCCTTAAAATCCCAGGAATCCATTCCCTAAAATCCCACTGATCCCTCCCCAAAAAATCCCAGGAATCCATTCCCAAAAATCCCAACAATCCCTCCCCCAAAACCCCCCAAATCCCAAGCCCCTCCCTCAAAATCCCCCCCAAACTCCCTCCCTATTTCCCCCCTCTCCCAAACCCCTGGAATTCCGGGATTTTTTTCCCCAAACCCCTGGAATCCCTGGAATTTTTTCCCCCCCAATCCCAGGATCGGGCACCACAGCACGAGCGACGACAGCTCGGCGTATCGCTCGGTGGACGAGGTGAATTACTGGGACAAGCAGGACCATCCCATCTCCCGCCTCCGCCACTACCTGGGCCACCGCGGCTGGTGGGACGAGCAGCAGGAGAAGGCCTGGAGGAAGAGCTCCCGAAAAATGGTGCGGGAAAAATGGGAATTTTGGGGAGTTTTGGGGGATTTTTGGGTTTTTTGGGGGGTTTTTTTGGGATTTTTTGGGGGTTTTTAAGGGGGTTTTTAAGGGGTTTGGGGGAGGAAGGAGGGAAAGTTTTGGGGTTGTGAGGAGGAATCTCCAGGAATTTGAGGAAGGACCCAGGAGGGAAATCCTTGGGATTTTGGGGGGATGAATCTCCAGGATTTTGGATGAGAAATCTCCAGGAATTTGGAGAAGAAATCCTTGGGATTTTTGAGGAGAAATCTCCAGGATTTTGGAGGAGAAATCTCCAGGATTTTGGATGAGAAATCTCCAGGAATTTGGAGAAGAAATCCTTGGGATTTTTGAGGAGAAATCTCCAGGATTTTGGAGGAGGAATCTCCAGGATTTTGGAGGAGAAATCTCCAGGATTTTGGAGGAGAAATCTGCAGGATTTTGGAGGAGAAATCCTTGGGATTTTTGAGGAGAAATCTCCAGGATTTGGGAGGAGAAATCTCCAGGATTTTGGAGGAGAAATCTCCAGGATTTTGGAGGAGAAATCTCCAGGATTTTGGAGGAGAAATCTCCAGGATTTTGGAGGAGGAATCTCCAGGATTTGGGAGGAGAAATCTCCAGGATTTGGGAGGAGAAATCTCCAGGATTTGGGAGGAGGAATCTCCAGGATTTGGGAGGAGGAATCTCCAGGATTTTGGAGGAGAAATC